AACTGTCGACAAATACGGGAAGCATTGTCGGCCAAACAAAGATATAATAGAAACTTCAAGCTCTATGAGAATGACTAGTTTCTGAAGCATGTAGTTAGTAAAACCGCAAGAACTGAGCACTGAACACAGGGCAATGCTTCAAATTCAATTCTTCTGAAACCCAAAACTTAAAAACACCCATATGAATCCCAAAACGCGAAATGGGTCTGTTCTTTTAATATTGAAACGGAAAAGGCACGTTTCTTCCGTGATATGAGAATCTAGTAGAATTCCCAGAACGGCATTCGCTCACGTGCACGCAAAACTCGCCTAATTTTTCCGACCAAACTGAAATCTGAAGCTACAAGATAAGTTTATCTAACACCCTTCACGGGGGAAAAAGAAAAAAAGGCAAGCCCATTTCAAGAACCGTTCGAATACCGAAGGAGAAAGGAGCACAGATCTGGGAAAAAGAAAAAGACCAAAAAGCTTCTGATGCTGTGTCTAACGTGCACTCTGGGTGAAGCGAATAAGAGATTTTGCAGTACCTGAAAAATCCAGCTGAATCGGAATGGTGGAACACAGAAGGTCGGAATCTTTGTCGGAACCCAGATCTCAAGGATCCAGCTTGATCCTCAACAAGATCTAGGGCAACAACAAGCAACTCCAGGAACGACGAAAAGGAAGGAGAGAGAGAGAGTGAGAGAAGATGTCCCCTAAAACATACAAGTGGTATTCTTTTTCATCTCGGAAGAAGATGATTCAAGACCTTTCCCCCTTTTCTTTTTTTTAATTTTGGTCTTCCGTCGATTCGTTTTCTCTCTCTTGGCTTTGAAATAAAGAAATCGAAAACAATCTTGACAGAATCAAGGAGAAATATGGCAGAGACACCACCATTGACCAATAAACTTCTCTTCCTCAGCCGATTTTTCTACGCAAAGGAAACTGGGAAGCAAAAGTGAAACACAGAGATTCCAGTTATTTTCTTTGGCTCAAAGAAAAAAGGAAAATTGGTAGATAATTAATTTAACTGTGAGTGGAAATTCCAAAGTAGTCGTTGTTTCCTATATTTACGCGCGTCGCGCACACTCAAAGGCTAAGCGCGTCGTTAAGGAAAAAAATAATCTGAGAGTGGAAAACATGAAATGGTCTTGTTCGGACACTTTGGTCTCTCTGGGACACGATCAAGCCTGCCGAGGCTTAAGCTATATGAAGTATAAATCACTTTTTACCAATTTGTATAACGGAACACTCTCCTCCCCCCAAAGAAGAAAACGTAATTGACTTCGCAATCACGCTTGTGATAATTGGAATTACGCAAGACTCTTGTTTTAAAATTCAAGAATTTCGATTTTCAGTTTCATGCACATAGGCAGACATGGGAGACGCCTCCTTTCAAGTACACTTGCTCGTATATAAACATACCATCACATCCCTACGTAGATCTATATGTACATATCATGTGGGCGTATATGCGCGATCTATATACTAACTAGAGAAGTGAAGATTTCGAAGCTTAAACCCATTTGTATGGAAACTCAAATTTCTTCTATAATTTGATTACAGAAAAATCGAGCTTCCTATGACAAATCGGTGTGCGCATCCATGGAGTCGTTAACCTTATTACACATTTGCTTGCGGGGGGAGAGAAGGGGAAACAGCGAATGAAAGAAGAATATCTCAAAAAGGGTAAATAGCATCGCAATCTTCTCTTAAAACATATGACAACGTAATAATCATCTCCCCATTAAACCTTAAAAAAACAGAGTACCAAACCACACAAATGATGAGGTGACCGAAACACAGCTCAAAACTAACCTTAAGGGGGGCGAGTCTAATCAAAGAGAGAGAAACCAAAGTCTCCTTCTTCCTCTTCCTCCACTTCCTCCTTCTTTTCCTCCTTGGGGGCTGCCGCCGTCTCGGATGCACCACCAGCACCTCCAGCCGGAGCAGCTCCTCCTGCTACGAATCCTCCACCGACGGCACCACCAACAACCACCTGCTCCGCATTACAAGTTCTCAGAATCGGTAAACATTATCAGAGCATCCACAAGGATTATGTGCATTATTGCACAACCACAGATTCTAGAGGCAATGATCTACTTGATATATACATAAAGGAATCACTTGAACAGCCATCATTGACAAACGGGTCATCCAGATTTCTATTTTCTACAAAATGAGTTTTATTGGTAAGACCAGGAGACCAAAACATATGAAACCTGCTGAAGATGGTAATATTTCCAGAAACAAAATCTAGTGAGAATAGATGGTTTTGAGTGCAACCAAACATTCATCAAGCAGGTGCAAATGCTGAAGTAGCATATACAAGTACCAGTCAAACAAGGTACCTTGAAAATAACAAATTCCATATAATGCAAAAAAATCAAGCCTTGAATCTTGTTAACAATGTCTTATACTACTATCAAGTTGTGTTGTCTCACTAAAAGTTCAGGGACAAACAAATAAAAAAGGATGGTGCATCATCCGAGCTAATGCACTAAATGTAGAACGATCATCAACCGTCGAACCATGGCATCCAGATCCAAAATCCCAATAACAAAGCACATTCTAACAAACGTGAAAAAGAATACGGTTCAATCACACAGGAACATGGGAAACTTTTGGATTGCTACAAATCTCTGAATCTCAGAAACTAACCATATGAAGATCAAAGCTTGCATCGAAAGGTCACTTTGATCATACATCCTGGAGTGCAAATGTATACCAAAAAAACAGAAATCGAACTAAATCAGGCGATCCACAACACTCCCAACGATCATCCAACAAACAAAATATCAGATAATAGAAGAATTTCAACATGACGGCGATCGTAAATCGTAAATCCTAAATCACACCAAAACCGAAACACATCTGGCGATCCAGTAATCCATCCCGGAAGAGCTGATGAGAGAGAGAGAGAGAGAGAGAGAAACCTGGCAGACGGCGGAAGTAGGGGTGATGAGGGAGAAGGACGTCTGAACACCACCGGAGGAGTCAGCGGAGAGAGCGGTTTGGACGAGCTGACGCTGGAGCTCGTAGGTGGAAGCAGCTGAAGCCTCGAGGTCTCCCTCGTGCTGCTTCGCCGTCCACTTTCCACCGCTGTTTCTGCACACAAACGTGAACACTCCCATTTTCTTCTTCCTCGAGGAGCTGCGACGATGATGGCGAATTTCGGCGACTGGCACTTTGGAGAGAGCTCCTTGCGTGCAAATGTGTGTATATATATATAAACGAAGAACAAGGGGAAACGAGAACCCTAGGTAGAGGTTTGCCGGAATCATATGGGCCTTTGGGCCTTAGACCCAACTTAAAATGGGCCGAGTACTAGCTGGGCTTTCCAATGGAGGAGAACGAAAACTATACAAGCGTTAAACCACAAAAATAGACCCAAGGACCAACTTCTATACGCTTAGGGAGATCCAAAGACATCTATGTACAAACATATTTGCTTTCGCATCGACACAGAATCGAAGAAGAACCTGTCCCAAAAAACATTTATCTATTATTTATTTTCATGACGAACAATTGATCTCTATAGGCTAGAATAGAAAAATGAAAAAAAAAAAAGAGACAAAACTTGAAGCCCAAGGAAGAAGATTTGGTTGGTTAGAGCTTTAGACCAGAATGAATGGCGACAACTCCACCAACAAGATTCTCGTATTCCACCTTCTGAAACCCAGCTTCCGCTACCATGGCCGCGAATTTCTCCTGCGTTCATAAGCCGCTCTCTTCAGTACTCCTATTCGTATATACTGACTAACCGGCATTGAAAATTTTCTTACAGGAACATGATTATCTCCACGTGAAACCTTCCTCCCCGCTTCAGTACTCTACCCAAAAGTGGAAAGAGTCTCATAAAATTTACATATTACACTAACAAGAATTCAATCAGAATCAGATAGATCTTTACTCATTCTCAACCAACAGTAACTCTGTATCCGAAGCCAGGAAGAGGGTGAAGATGATGAAATGTAACCGTTACCTATAGGCCTCAGCCAGAGCTTTCTCAATGTGAGTGACATTCCTAATCCCAAATGCAATAGTGTATCCATCCATTGAATTGTCATCAAAACTCAGGGCCTCTGCATCTCCTTCCATCCATACCAGAGATTTGTTTTGTCCAATACCTGTAAGTGAAACAATCTCACGCATGAAAAAGAGAAAACGGAGGAAATTCTATAGTCGGTTTGAGTCTCATGATCATCTAAATGTTTTACCTCTCTCAGCAGCTCGCTGTTTCCCGACATTTAACATGTTAGGGTTAACGTCACATACGTATATCTGAGTTTCTTCAAGGGAGGCCTCATCTACTTTCTCCAACGCTCTTCTTTTGACACTATTTACAGCATCAAAGATCCTGAAGGCAATATCCCCTGTGAATTTAAACAATCATTGACAAAGATCTATGAAATATGTAGAATACAATTTGTACTATAAAACAGAGGTTAGTCTCCGGCTTTTGCTAACTTTCTCCATATTTAGCACTTGTTTTCTTACAAATATATTTACAGAAAACCATCCATAAGAAGGAAATGTTGTCAACTTGTTCATAAAAAGGAAACTAAAAAGTCGGCTAACCTGTTCCACCAGCCACATCCAGATGTTTCATCCCTGGAAATGGATTCAGTTTCCCAACAAGTCTGACATCAATAAACTGAAATCAACAAAATCCAGGACCTAGAAAAACAATCCACGAAACATTATGGACACATGTACAGATATACTAACCTATCCTTCCAGTGTCTGTGCAAGCCACCACTCATCAGATCATTCATCATGTCGTAACTTGAAGCGACGCTAGTGAAGACATCACCAACCAGCTTACTTTTATCTTCTTCTCGTACTTCTTTAAACCCTGAGATAAAAAGAGAGAGGGATGGAGAGAAGACGTGATACCAACACCATGTGAATTTCATATTAATTACTTCTTTTTAAAAAAAAATTAATGATTATTCAAATACATTTGTATATTTTGCCATGACCTTATAAAAAATTTTGATAGAAAACAAATAATGAGAAAACAGATAAGCTTGAGGGGATACCAAAGCTAGTGGCATGAGAATGAAGCAAAGCCACAGAAGATTGTAGAGCCGTTAGTCTGCCCCCCAGCCTCCTGCTTACTGATCTCAGCGCCATAGCTGCTATTGAAACTGCAGTTGTATTCTTGTATATAACCAAGTATTGTTCCGATAATTAACCTTGAGAATTTCAATAATGAGACCATCAAGACAACAAGGAAAGGAAATAGTGAGAAGCAAAGACATGATGGCAAACCTCAAAATATCATGCTTATTGATTACTTTATGATACTTTTAGAGCATGGAATCATTCCTAATTCTTCTGAGATCACAGCCAGCCACATCAAATTATCCCGGGCTATCACGTAATGGACGATGAAATGATTCCCTGGGTCAACAAGACATGCTTGATCCTAGACCCTATTTGACTATATATCCCTAACCCCGACCAAACGCCTCCTAAGATTAACTTGACGACAGCAATGGTGATATCACTAGCATGAATGCAAGATTGTGATGAATAACAAACAATGCCCAGGATGAACAAGTGCTCCAAAACAGATCTAGTTTTCCCCAATATACCGAAAAAATGGAAGTGCTCCCTTAAACACGGGCAATTATCTGGTTCCCGGTGCTGTAGGATCAAACTTTTTTTCCGTGATTATCCACATAATCAGATAAATTCAAACATAAATCACGGGCAATTATCTGGTTGGTCCTAGCAGATTGAGAGATTAAGATTTTCTTAATGCAGAGAGAATCAAATAACAGAATAACACAATAACGAAATAAATGCACTGGAGAAGAATTACCCATCAACAATTAAACAATACAATCATCGGAAATACCCACGACTGCCAACGCGCATGTAGGCTACCAAAGAAATTGATCAAGCAAACGCCAAGAATAATGTTCATTCGGATTAACGATAAAAGAAGAAAGCTTTCGAAGAACTGCGATCACATATAACCTCTCCACTACCACAAACCCTAGTATCAACGTCAAAAACCTAGGCGAACCTGACCACGCATTTCGTTCGAAATATTTTTCTCACGAAACAAACAGAAAAGCAGATGAACGATATACATATAGATATATAGATAGCCGATGTACGCACCGAGAAAATACTGGGGATGCGTGGTGTTCTTGCAAATTCGGTCTTCTCCGGGGAAAAATTCCCACCGGTGTGATGTGACGGACGCCGGAGTTTTGCTCTCCAGATTGGGCTTTTTATTAACAACGCCGAAACAAGCCTTTTTTTGTTTTTTAAATTATTTTCTGTAAATTTCTTTCAAAGGCCCAGGCCATGTTAATCTCGTCCCAAAGCCCATGAATATTACTCCCGGTTTTTTTTTTTTTTTTTTTTTTTTTTTTTCGGTTTTTTTTTTTTTTTTTTTTTTTTTGTGCAGTGGCCGTAAGAGAAACATGTATTTATTTAAAATATGCATGAACGATGTTTTCTTTTCTTTTTTCTTTTTTTTTTTTTGGTGGGGGGGGGATGCACATGAATGTGTTTATCTTACGTTTAAATGGAACATTTGTTTATGAGACGATATTAATTATGTGTGTGTACGTATATATATATATATGCGTGTGTGTGTGTGTGTGTGTGATGGAAAAGGGAGAAATCCAGCAAGACTGATGCTGTCGTGTAATGGCATGAGATCGACGACCTCTTTACTGAGACACAATCGGATCTGCACAAAGACCCAACTAAACTTCTTGCAGATCAAGATCTCTCTCTCTCTCTCTCTCTCTCTCTCTTCCCTTGTTGCCTTGCCTCTATGTTGAACAATATAAACCCGCTTGTCTTTTATCTCTACTATTAAAGAAACAAGCCCTAGTGGCCCTTCCATGTGATCCTACCATATTCTTTTAAATGCCGATCCAAACCACACAAACTATGGTTCTTGTCTAGATACATTTTTCCTTTTGAAGAACTCATATGTACACATTTTTATGAACTGTCGTATAAATTTTTAATGTTAAAATAATATGCCATATGAAAGGATGATATAACTAAAAAAACATATAAAAGAAATGGTTAATTGGAATATAATAAGCGTCTCGAGTTGGTAGATCTGGACAAGATGATATGTAGCTTTACAACATATACATCCACTTTGTCCAAGTGACAAATGGGCACTAGCTAATTGCAAAATTATTAATAAAGAACTTCGGTCATATAATGATAAAATAGGTTGATATTGACAACAATTATTGAGGTGTCATAATGAGTAAATCCATTGAAGTACATTATAAAGGACATTAGAACAACGTGGGATCGATATAAATAAGATATTTGTTTGTGTAATCCAGATAATTTATTTAACCATAAATAAATAAATAAATAAGTATTTTTTTTTTTTGGATCCACTGAAGATTATCTTTGGCTCGACCATCAAGAGATTCCTTACCGAATTTTAGAATAATTATATTTGGCATTTTTTTGTCGTTATTGTTTTCCTTGGTTAGAAAGTCATATTCCAAAACTCGATTCATTGTATGTGGGAGTTGCTGAGGTTGTCCTAGTTTCTTTTTTGGTTGAAGGGTTGCCCCTGTTGTTTTAAATAAATATGTAAAATCACGAATTCTTCGAATATATAAACATATACCTTATATTATATGTGTTTTTAGTGTAACTAAATGCCATGCTTAGATCGGCTGAAGCTTCGTGTAAACTAAGTAATTAAAGATATTAATGGGGAATCTATCTACATGATGTGAAACTCTTGCTAATGATCCTTTGACACATTTCATGTTTCATTTATTTATGATCGCGTCACTGCCTTTTATCTTTAGTGTCCGAAAATTATTTGTGAAAATATGTCAGACATGGACCATATGATATAGTTTTTTTGTCCACGTGTAAAGATATCAAATATATCGTCCGAGGTCACACACACACACACACATATATATGAAAGCCAAAAAATAATTCACGCATGGTGTGAGTGTTATATACCTAGAATTCGGTATTCAAGACTTCGTTTTCAGCCGGAAAAAAATTTCCAACCAAAAAGTGAATTTAGAGAGGAAAACAAAAAGGCCGAAGGCAGCGAGAGTATCTAATAGAAGATAAGCTAATCTAATAGAGATCGAATAATAAAGTGACAAGTGGAGAACGTGCACTTGTAGAAACCACATGACGACGGCCCATTTTTTCATCCATCTGGGTCTTTGACACGTGTCAATGGGACCAACGAACAGTAAGAAACTTACCCTAATGATGTCGTGGTTATCTTTCTATTATGATCTTAACCTTTCTGTCTCGATCTCATTTATTTTATGTAAGATTAATTAGGCACCACAAAATTCATTCCTACGACCAATGAAATATAGTCTCTACTGGTTTCTTTTTTCCTTGTAAAAAAAATGTATTTTTCTTTATAAACGAGACAGTTAGGTTAGGTAAATATTCAGAAAGCTCTTTCCATAAAAAAAAAATATATTATAACATATTGTTGCATAACAATGTGAAAATATTTGAGACGAGATTAGAAGCGTTGATAACGTTAATTGATACAAAGGAGAAAAAAAAGTATTCTTCAAGTAACAAAAAGTTCATGTGACTTACTATATCTTATGCATACACAAGGTTCTCTACCAAGATATATGTATAGCAGTTATATGATATATTCCATAAATGTGAATACAATATACTAAAATGCATATATCATGATGTGTGTGTATATATATATATATATATATATATATAAAAAAGTGGGAAAACAAGAGGGTCCAAACACACAGAGAAGTGTGTGGGTTAGAAAGGCTACAACGCGTGCTTCAACCCTTTTTTTAACCTTAAAAAGACGAAGAGTCCCCCTTTGCTTCCACATGCCGTCACTTCTTCCGTAGGGCCTCCTCCTCTTTCTCTCTCCAAATATTATCTTTTTCTCTGATCACATTATGATACCAATTTCATTATTATTATTATATTCATTTTTCTCTATTGCGATAATGGCCAAGACAACCCCCTTGTGCTCCCTACAATCTCTTAGGAATCTTTCTTTTTATATGACATAGATTGCGTGTTTGAGTTTGCTGTTGGTGTTGGACTTGGTTTGGAGCTTTGTGTAAATGGTCACCAAGTGGATAGTTTTGTCTGATGAATTCCAATTTGTTGTAAGCAGCATGGGAAGACGACCAAACTATGAATTATGTATTAAATTTATAAATTGCGTTGCTTAATTACACCGATCAATTCATCCATTATACGAACATCATCCGATTTTTTTTTTTTTTTTGTGTGTGTGTAGATAAGGCTAATCGTTGTTAGTTTTTTGTTTTTTTCTTGTTCTAGGTAACCAACTCTGTTAGGTTTGAAGTTTCCTCGATTTGCAGTGTTCCAAACAGATTCCTTTTAACAATTGTGTTCCATTGTGGTGGATGTTAGAATATATCGGTCCATGCCTTTTTTGATATATGTGGAAATAATTAATGGGATAATATTCGTGGTAATTAATAATAAATACATGTTATTCGGTATATATCAATTAATTATAGAACTAGATACTATAAACGCGAGAGGTTTAATCTCCGTTTTACGATATGAAAATAGGTAATGTCGATAGATTGCCATGAGGAAATCACAATCTGGAACTCATAAAGATTTTTTTTTTGGTTGACTTGCAGAGATTCAAACTTTGAAATCACATTCTAAAAGATCTGATCGTGTTTAAGCCAGAAGCAATAATTATGTCGCTAATTAAACTTATATATATATATGTGCATATATAAATATATAGTATTAGATGTTATTATTGGTCTCAGGGTGCATAAATTAATTAATAATTAAGCTTTTCATGTTATATGATTAATTATATAATTATATTGCATAATTCTCCGATTTCCGTCTTCCTTCTCACTCACATGGCTCTCCGCCCAATCCAGCCTGCTCTCTTTATTTGTCCCCTCTTTAACTTAACATTATTTTGTTAGTTTTAAAACTTATAATAAACGCATGCATCCGCCGCTGGAATCATTTATTTTCCTTGCTAGAATCATTTACATTAAATATTACACCGCAAATCTATCGAGACCATTTTTTTAAAAAAAAAATTGAATATAATTAAGTATGATTTTGGGATCCGAATTCGAGTACTACTACATAGCCCATGAGATATGAACCTTCATGCGCCGGCAACTAAGTATAAATATGTGTAATAATATATCAATAATTAATTATTAATATTTAATAAAAATATAAAATAAGATTATATATATATATATATATATATTCCAATAGCTAATACGTCCTCGCTTACACGTATACAGTATAATATGGGCGAAACAGATGTGCCTAGAAACATGCGTAGGATTTTATATACATACCATAATAAATGGTAATTAATAATAAATAATATGATTGTTTCATATAATTAATAGAAGTCGGTGAGTAATCTGAGCCCCATGTTCGCCGAAGATTTCTTTGAAGGGGGGAGGCGAAACAAGTAGAAGACAGGCCGTATTTTTTTTTCATTTTCTCTCTATTGATTAATTTAAAGATAAAATAAATCCGAAACATAAAACTAAATGACCAACCATATAATATCTTTTAAATAAATTTCGAATGCCCATTGAAGCATGTGCTCAGTGCGTACCAAACCTTATATTTATTTTGTGCCGACGAAATTTAAACTCCATTTCTAGGGTGTTTTCTATGGTCCCATGTCTAATTTAGAGAAAGATTTACATTCAGTTATTAGTTCAATATTTTATAGAATTAAACTATATATACATGTAAAGATTTACATTATGAATGACGACATAGAACCAATATGTACACTACTCCGTTCATCGTCACTAATTTCAAAATATTTTTTTTAGGAGTATTATTCACATAAGGTTAATAAATCATTGAAAAATTCGTATATCTTTGTGTTATAAAGGAGAATATACCTAGAAAATATTGGTGTCAGATTAAAAATGGCAATCATGAGAGACGTGGCTTTCTGGGTATGGTCGGAAGGTAGCAGTACGGATAATGATGATGAGTAATATAATTATACATATATTTTTAGGAAATACATAAAAAGGGAATCGTTAAAATTTCCAAAAATAATGCAAAACCAAATCACCTAGTTAAAGCAAGATAGAAAGGTTGTCTCCGATTATATTTTTTTTTAATAATGTATATGTACGTATATATATAACAATAAAAATGTAAATTCTTTGTTTGGTTTTAGGTTTTCATGGTTCATGCATATCTTGATCGGGTCCAGTGAGGACTTTGTCTGGAATATCTCGCTCATAACCCACATATTCTTATTTTTATTAAATCTTGTCCAAATCTCATTGATCTGTACCGAATAATAATAATAATAATATACGCATGCAATATCCACAAATATACTTACATGTAGTGTATACATTCCCTATACACCCATTAAATAAATAATAAAGAAAGAACAACCAACTTATCCGGCATCAGAATCTATTCTGTATCGTTTAAGATTACAAATGCATTCAAATGAAGTAAATAATAATACAAAAAAAATAAAAATAAAACGGGATCAACCTTTGCATGCCACATTTATTTTCTCTACACTTTTCCAATTTTATAAATATTTTAAGGGAAGCTTTCTCTCAACGACGATGGTAAATAAATTAAACCATGAGTTAATAATACAGTAAAAAAAAATCAACTGTTTACACACACGCATATATGTATATATGTACATATATGTATGTATAGATAGATAGAAAAAGAAGTATTGTTTTGTCTGTCTTTTTAAGTGAGAATAATGAGAAGGGCAGAAAGCTCAGCATATGAAGCTCAGCTTTTTCCTTGCTTGCTTCCTCCACAGCCTGTCAAAATGCCCTTTTTATAAATAAAAAAAATCATTAAACTCTTTCTAATCTATGCTTATTGATTTTAAGCAATAACTCTGCTTAGTTAGATAACCCATTCCCATCTCTCTCTCTCTCTCTCTCTCTCTTCCCCAGTTGGCTTTAGAAGCCTACCCTTTTCATATCTCTGAGTTTCCTTTTTCTTGATCGATCTTCTGCTTGGAGCAAATTCATCAAGAACATATTATATATGTCATGCGTCTGGAGGAGGTGTAAGCTATGTGGCATATGATCTTTGGAACATGAGATCAATGAGCTTCCCTGGGAAAGATTCACACTTCTTTTCAGGTATATACATATAATCATATCATTATATGATCGTAGAATATGATTTTTATTCTTCCAAAGTTCATTAGTTGTTTCCCCTTGGGAGATTTCATACACACACAAGCAGAGTGAGTGTCTAGGCGAGGGATTAGAGCAAGGGTTTTGGTGTGGGATAGATATGAATTCGTTGATACATACACACAAATGCATGAAAAGTAACAGAGATATTTTGCTTTGGTATTATCGTCTGTGAATCAAAATTATTGGACCGATTCAGTGCATTGCTTTACATTGACACCAGCTTTTGGCTCGGGCTTAGATATATCTGATCCTTGTTTTTCTTTAGTTTGTCGGTTAGTCAGTCCACTGCAGTTATGGTGTCATTAATCAGTAGCCGTTACATAAATTATGTCAAGCTCTGGATATGCATAATATAAACATATACGTATACGTTTCCAATAGCCATATATATATATATATACATGAGGCTTATGTTCTCTTCGCTCTTCGCTTTTTATATATATGTATAGATATCAATTTTGACCTAAGATCATGTATATCATATAATTAGTACGGTCTACTCTTGTTCTCGATAGCCATGACCTTACCTTATCATGCTGGTGGGAGCGCATGTGAGCGTGTATGGACGTACACACACACACACACATCTATATATATATATATATGTCCAGACTTTTGTTTTGGAAGAAACAAGAGTAAGTGGAAACTTTGATGATAAAGTGTTGCTTTGTATTGTGTGATAATCAAACCAATGAACCCATGGATCTATTTGTCCATCCATCTATAATCTGTTTGAATATCATTCATATGTTTCTCTAAGTTCTTGTTTTTTCAAAAAAAAAAAAAAATCTTATATGTCTACTAAACTTTCCTTGATTCTGAGTGTGGATTGACAGATACAGAGTTCTCCTTCTTTATCTAAACTCAAGAATCTCTCCATTTTTAGACATTTGAAACCAAAAGGAAGTAGAGAAGATGAGAAAGAGACCATTTAATTACCACAATTCAATTTCAGTTGTTGCTATCTAGACCGTACGTAGCGTTTATTGCACCCATTGACCAGCTATAACCCCCCACGGAATATTTGACCGATCGACCACCCACAAATAAAAATTTAAATTAAATTTCACGTAGTAATTCGTACCGGCCCCATATATATTCCAATCTTGTGGCCTAGAAAATAGATGCGTTATATTTACTGCCGTTTTTGCGTTTCTTTGGAAAATATCGCAAAGAAAAAACAAAAAAAAAAAGGAAAGAGTTCTGGAACTTGTTTTTTTTTTGTGTGGTGTGTTATTGGTGGGACAAGCATGTCTATGTTGGGTTTGGGTACTAAATTGGCACGACGTGTAGGAAAAAAAGGTCATTTCATTTGGACAAGACATCAATACAAGACAAAGAGTTGCAAATCTCAGAGGTCTTTCTTCCCACCACTAGTCAAGCTTCTTCGGTCCACAGCACAACACCCCTCACTTCAATTTAGTGGTCTCTGACGATAACTCCATCATCCTCATGTATATATCTTCTTTAAAAGTTCCATTTTTTTCTTTTCTATTTTCTTGCTTTCCTCTCGGCGATTGAATATTTCTTGAAAAAAGGTTCGTTTTTTTGGGTCAATATGGTGAACTGTGTACATTTTCAGGCATGGGAACGGAGATCATCGAGCGAATTGCGATAAACCCTCTTCCAGAAAGCAACATTAAGATCGGATTCAGAAGAATTGGTGATCGCCGGAGGTGTCGGCAGTCAAAGGAGTTGACCGGCGAGGACGAGGGACGCTTTAGGGTTAGGCCCATGGATAGGTTCCTCGACAAGCAGAACATCGAATCCATCCGAAAGACAATGCAAGCCCAAGAAGATATTTTCAAGCACCAGGTACGTATATACACACGCACGCACAAATATACATGAACACTGGTTAATTGCTTGCATTAATGTAAACGAGAGAATTTATCCATAAATCCTAAGAGACTGGATATATATAGTACATTTGTAAAGCATTCGATCTAGGGTTCCATTTCTAACTGGTGCAACATTTCTTCTGGGTTATACTTATATATATATATATATATATGAGGAAAATAACGGGGAAAATAAATAAAATGGCAGGTAAGGGAGCTGCATAGAGTATACAGTGTGCAAAAGATGATGATGGAGGAGCTGAAGAGACAGAGACGACTGTGGACTAATAACCGTCCTAACATTATTAACCTAACATCTCAACCACCAACCGCTTCTTACAACAACAACAGCTTCTTTTTGCTCGACATCAACAGCAGCAACAACAACAATCATCAGAGTTCGAGAGAGAGAAGCGGAAGTTGCTCGGCAGGCGTCGACCTCGAGAGCCCCGCGAGAGAAATCTCGGCCGTCGATCTCGGGAGAACGAACGGTTCAGATTTGATGGACGAGAGCGAACTAGAACTGACTTTGAGCGTCGGAATGTCTTCTTCGTCGACTTCAAGATCCTATCACCAGAGGGAAACCATGGCTACCACCAACAACAACATGGATATGGACTCGACAACGACGTCGTTTAGATCGGATAATTGTAATAACAATAATAATAACAATAATAAAAATCAGGATTGCAGCGGACCAAGCACACCGATGAGCAGTTCGAGTACGACGTTGGATCAGGAGAAGAAGAGGCCACATTGGCTGTTTCAGGGACTAAGTATAAACCGAACCTAATTATCATCTCTTTTTTTTTATTATAATCTGTTTACTGACTCTTTTTTTATATATTAACTTTCTAAATTTTCCTTCTCCGACTTTTTGTATTTTCATGTGTCACATGAGATCTCGGATTTTTTTTTTTTAAGTCATCCATTGAAATCGAAACTGTGTCGGTAAATGTCACATTTGTTCAGGGAAAATAAAAAAAATTAAAGCCCAGATTCAACTTTCTAAAAATATTTAATCCGTCATTAACATCGTGTTTTTTTCACCTGAAAATAAGGAAAAAGAAAAAAGGTATGACGTGGGAAACAAAAAGAAATATGAGAACGCATCCCGTGGTTTCACATCATCAACCAATAGGAAAACGTGAGGTCTTCTTTGGATCCTCCGAATCTATACTCATCCTCAAAACGTGCCCGTGGGAAATCCTCGGACACTTTCCCTAGATTTCTGTGTGTGTTTTTCCCTGTTCATCTTTTTTGGGGGCTAGAATGCAATTTCAGATAGTTGCGGGGTCTTTCCAAATGCAGCAGCGTTCTGAGGGGCACTCCCTCCGGGCCGTTAATTAATGGGATTGCATCTTTTACGTCGATGCCTAATGCGGAGTACAAAAACAGAGTAAATATTTTATCATGAACTCTGTAATGTCGGATTCTCTGTCTCTGTTGTGTTCGAAGATAGAAATCTTCTCTCTGTATATTCATATGGTTTCTTCTGCAGTGTTATCTACTCGTGATAATCTCAATACTATTGACATATCAAAAGTCAAAACCACTATCTGGTTTCTACTATATACGTACAATTTTTTTTAAAAAAAACTTTCATAAAGATTGTATCTCCATAACAACATGATCTGCATGCATGGATTCTGACGTTGCGGATGAAAAGCTCTGTATAATTCCTTGGACGTGCTTGAACGGAAATGGAGGCGGCTCGATTTCCAAGACTCCTTCCAGCATCTGACCTAAATTGCTAAACTTGGGTCTTGCCTCTGGTCTGGTCTGAACGCACCAAAGAGCTGTCAGAGCCATCCTTACAGCATTCTCCATGTGCCTCTCCTCTATCCCCAACTCCGAAAGCATTGAAGTGAGATCGCCATTGTTGAATGCATGCCATGCCCAACGTGGAAGCCATTGTTTGGTCTCGTCTTCTTCGCTCAGGTCGTGGTGCCTTCTCCTCGCAATTATCTCAAACAGAACGATGCCAAAACTGTAGACATCGCACTTGCGGCTCACTGGAAATGGCTCCCACAGCTCTGGAGCTGCATATCCAGGTGTCCCTCGGCATCCCGTCATCGTAATCTTGTCATAAAAAAGATAATATCGAATACAGGAGCAAATTATACGTTAGGACAACTCTTGAACAGCTGAGGTGTACGTACCAGGCTGACGTCGATGCTGCAGAACTTGGCCAGACCAAAATCTGAAACCTTGGGTCGCAAGTCACCGTCAAGGAGTATGTTCGCCGGCTTGATGTCGTAGTGAATGAGGCATTCCTCGTGGAGATAAGCGAGCCCTTTTGCTGTACCGATGGCGATTTCCCTCAGCTTCTCCCACTCCACAGCCTTTTCCGCGTCGAATAACAGACGGTCCAGAGAACCATTCTCCATGAACTCGTAGACGAGAGCTCTCGCCCGCAACTCGTCCTTCCGATAGCTCTGACTTCCGCCATGAACTGCTCCTCCATTCTCTTCTTGTTCCAATTACTCGTCAAAACTTTCCCGGCCACTGGGACAGCGTTCGGAAACTCGCCTTTGTAAACTGTGCCGAAACCACCGGAACCGAGAACTGTGGAGAAGTTATTGGTTAAGGCCTCGATCTCGTAAGCTGAGAATTTGATGGGTTTCTCGTTCTCTATCTCCCGCAAGAGTCTCTCCATTGGAATGGTTAGAAATACTTCTGGTGGGGACACTTCTACATCTATCTGGCCGTGATCGGACCAGACCAGTTGCTGGCGGGGTCTTGTCTGGTCCGTATCATCGCTTGTTGCGACGACTTTGCTTTTCAGAAGTCCCTTCCTATCCAAGCATCCAATCAAAACACACAGAAGGGCCAAACCTAACATAACTCCTATAAAAGGAACTGAAACAGAAAAAAAAAAAAATTCCATAAGATTCCTCCGTATAGATTCGGTTTCTTAAATAAGAAATATATAATCAAGAAAACTAAAAGTGACATACTCAAGAATTGTGGATGCTCGAAGCTTCTCGGTTCTTGACCTAACGGATCCATCTCTCGCTACAACTCGTTTTTTTTTTTAAAGGTAAACTTTCTCAATTATATAGATGGATTTTTCCTTCTGTCCATACATATGATTGAAGAGGAAGCGTTCCGGGGCGAAAAAGAGAGCACATTCAGGGCCACAAGGGATGGATTGTGATCTTTTCCATATAAAGACGTCACGAAAGCAATGTTACATGATGTTGAACTAGAGGTCCCCTGTGGTACAAACTGTCCAAATTTGTAGTTGAACGTAGCTTCTTAATCTTTAAGTGTACGGTTTCGGGTCCATTTCTAGGTATGAACGTTTGGAAATCGTTACACTTGTGATTGAATATTGGGACCGATCCACCCGTTTATTTCAAAGATTTTACTACGTCACCGTCATAACTATCGATTTGGTCCAGATGGCGTGTAGAAAATCTGGAGGACAATGCCAAAACCGTAAATGTTTTCACTTGTAACGGCTCCCACAGCGCCGGAACTGTGTAATCCGGTATACCAAAACGCTTCGTTTTCATAAAATCGAATTACTTCATCTAATGCCCTTTTAGTTTTAGATAATGCGCATTGTAACCACTGTCCACGAAAATCAAAAATCAGAGGTGATTATAAGCGTGGCTGCTGATTGAAATGAACATTTATTGGCACATACCAAATGTTTTTTTTTAAAATAAATTATGTCAAAAGCAATTTTCCTTGTGAAAACTAGAATGTACATATCTCAGCAAGATGGGTTATCCTTATATACATGTAACAAAAAACTCCAAAGATCTTTGTCGGAAAGAGATGGGATCTCTTTTACGGGTTTATTCATAAACAGTTCATCAAAACCATAACGTCAGCAGCAGAAGGATGAAAAAGGAAAAAAAAATCCCATAAAGATGTACCCAAAAGAAGAGTTAATAATTAGTATCGTCAGATCCACATCAAATCATAATATAAAAAAATCAGGTTCAAACACTGCCTCGATCCGAAGTTTTCTGAATGGTATTTAATTATAAACCAATATCTTTAAATTTTACATGATCCCTAACGTTTGATTAAGAGACAAAAATATTGAAACACATGTATACCAGCTCCTTGAAACTTTTATTTTCTTTTTTGTTGGTTTTTTTTTCCAGTGGGCTGAGCTCATTCCTCATTCCATTCCAAAGATGGGAGTCTGCAAAAGAGAGAGATTCGGCTTTGCCGATTGGTAAGACTCTGAAACGCTGTTGTTACCTATCGTCATAGTCGATGTCGAGGCCACGCCCGATGCGGAATTACCGTTGTACCCTTCACTCCCGACCAAGGGCACGAGGCTGTCTCTGCCTTGTTGCACGAGCGATGCGGTGTTCGCTAGGCCGAAAACGTTAGACCAATAATGATGATGATGATGATGATGATGAACAGACGAGTCCGTCTTGACGGGGAATATTGCCGAGGGATCGGGTCCGGGAGTGGACGCGGCCACGTTGAAATGGGGCGGACACAGGCGGTCAAGGGTATTGTTGTCGGACGAGGATGTCTTGGACCGGTTGGGAACGAGTCCTCCTCCAATCGGAAGATTTCCGCTTGCCATCGATTCCACGTCGTAGCGGCTGATGTCGAAGTTTGTGACTGCGTTCAAGCCTCGGAATTTGATCGCCGCTATGTCGTACGCCTCTGCCGCCTCTTCTTGAGTGCCTATGCCGATTCAAAACATGTACATTAAGCCCGTATATATACTATGTGCCTACGTTTCTAATTGAATGGTAACACCATACTAAGAACGATATACATTTTAGGCATTGTGCCCAAGTAATTACAAAAGTATTTACAGAACACGAGTGAAAACTTACTGAAGGTGCCGAGGTAAAGGTCTTTGTTGCCCGCAACTCGTCCTATTCGGGCCTGCCACCTCCCATGCTGATGATGTCTGCAAAAAATGCGTGACAAATCTTTCACTAAAATTAATATTTTCATTGAAATATATACTATTGGCTTGGGAAAAAAATACTTTTCTATTTGAATAAAGTGGGGAAATTTTAATTTCTTATTTTTGAAAATTGAACATGAACGTCAGATGTATGCCGTGTAAACGGACCTCGTGACGCCCCTGTAGATGGATGCGCCTCTCGAAAATCCGCTGCTTTTTCTTCCCCTGCCACAAACATACAAGTAACACAAATTTACGCTTGTGCCGAAATATTTTTACAGTTTGTAAAGAGAGTGACAACAAAATCTCATTGATCAAAGCTATTAATTAGGAGTAAGAAACTAATTACCGTCGAAGTGAGGCAACAAACTCTTGCCTCGTCGTGTGTTTCGTCTCCTCGAGTTCAGCCTCGTAGTTTGAAATCTATAACCTCAATTATACACGATTTTATTCAATACTACTAAACAAAAATGGTATAACCAATTCTATAAATCAAAATTTTCAGAATTACCGGGAAATTAGTGGTAGTTGTGGGGTTGGTTACTTCTTTAATTCCGCTTCAGAAGGATATTGAGGTTCTTTCATTTTCAATCATCAAAAGATTTATTCTCTTTTTTTAGTAAATTATCGGTTGAACTTTCTACTAAATCAAATAAAAATTCAATAAATATATATACAGATAAATTTATAAGTATAATAAACATATAAAAACAAATAAATAAAAAATAACAAAGATTATTTAAATTTACAATTTTTACAAATATTTCTTCTTTTATTTTAGTTTTTATTTTATTATAATTAAATTGACAATATTTTTTATTTGTCTAAAAAAAGTAAAAAACTTGAAAATAGAAAATAACAAAAAAACAATAGACTAATTTTTTTTATTAACTAACATCACAAAATATATGAAAAAAATCAAATTAGTGGGGTCCGTGAGAAATTTTTAGCGGGGGCATTAACATATTTTTTTAAAATTTTATTAAATTTTATAACTAATATTTTTAAAAGGAAAAAAACAGTGGGGGCCAGTGCCCCCACTCATCTCCACGTAGGTCCGCCACTGGTTGTGGGACCCCAGTACTTGAGAGCTGCGAGGTCGTAAGCTCTTGCTGCTTTCTCTTCCTTATCATAGCCACCTGAAGATAACATAAAATATTTTCAATTATTATACCCATTTCATTTATGCACAACATATATATGTATATATATATATATATATATATATAAATACG